GGGAAAGCATTCTAACACAAATCAAAAGTGTTGCTAACCTAGACATCACACCCACGCCGGAAAACTTATTTTTGAACAGTTGGGTAGCTCAGGACTCTGCTCCTTCAGTGGTGGAGAGGGTCTCCATCCTGCTATTTGCAGCCAAAACTGTCATTGCAACCCACTGGAAAACAACAATAACACCTACAATTTCTCATTGGCACAAGAAACTGTGGGATTTGTATATTATGGCTAAACTCTCGGATAACCTTACGCGACTTGACAAGATTCCTGCCCAATCTTCTTTTATAGCTGTCTGGTTCCCTATATTGGAATACTTACAACAATTCGATGATATCCCTAAAGAGATAGACACTCTACATCTGTGGTAATGTGTATATAAGTATTGGTAATAAGCATGGCTCAATTAAGCATAGTACAACATCTATTATTCAAAATAGTTCTAAATGCCAAGAGTTGGAAATTTATAATTATATCTTGTGTATATTCATGCTACAACCTACGTAGTTAACTAATCATCCTTTATTGTAGCGTTCAGTAACAAGACTGTTTCACAACTGTTATGAAATTAATACACCACTTTGTATATGTATGTTATTATGTTATAAATGCAAAACTTAATAAAAATATATTGGGGAAAAAAAGAAAGACAGAATTTTGCTAGAAAGAGGCTGCTGAGAGGGGAGGAAATAAAGTTGCCAGCGTTAGGTATGGAAATTCCTGGAGATTTGAGGGGTGGAGCCCGGAGAGGGGACCTCAGACAGGTACAGTGCCATAGACTCCACCCTCCAAACCAGCCATTTGCTCCTGGGGAACTATTGTTGCCAATCTTGGCCCAGCAGCCATCAAACCATTCTCTTCAACCCCCTGCTGTGCAGCTGACTTTCCCCTAGGGTTGCCAATCTCCAGGTGGGACCTGGAGATCTCCCACTGCTACAATTGATCTCCAGATGACAGAGATCAGTTCCCCTAGAGAAAATGACTGCTTTAGGAGGGTAGACCCTATGACATTATACCTGCTGAGTCCTTCCGCCCCCCCCCCCCGCCCAATGCTGCCCTCTACAGAATCCACCCCCCAAACCTCCAGGTATTTCCCTCCTTAGAGCTGGCAACCCTACATTCCCCTCAGTGCCTGTTGGGAGTGGGTGGGGGGGGAGGGGAAGGGAGTGGGCGACCGGAGGCTTCTGCCTCCTGTCTCCGGTCCTGGAGTGGGGGGGGTGGAAACGGACCCGGCAGCCGGAGGCTTGCACCTCCAGTCGCCGGCCCTGGAGTGAGTGGGGTTGAGTGGGGGGAAACGGACCCTGCGGCCGGATGTCGGCCCTGGAGTGGGTGGGGGTGGGAGGGAAAACGGGCCTTGCGGCCGGAGGTGGAGCCTGAAGAGGGTGAGGTTTGAGGAGGGGTGGGACCTCAGACAGGTAGAATGCCATAGACCACCCTCCAGACCAGCCATTTCGTCCTGGGTAACAATTGTTGCCCATCTCCAGGTGAGGGCTAGAGATCACTCAAAATTACAACTGCTCTTCAGGTAGCAGAGATCAGTTCCTCTGGAGAAAACAGTGGACTCTGTCATTATACCCTGCTGAGGTCGCCACAGCAAATTGACACTGTTTGCCCAAAGCCAGAGCACTCTCCCAGAGCCTCTTTCTAGATCCCGTTGTATTTATTTCCACAACGGGCCTTATTTCTAGTTATTATATATAGATAATATTGACCACTGAGGAAGGCCCTTAGGAGCTGAAACGCGTTTGGTCTTCAGTTGTACATTATTTACCCACCATATGTATGTATAGAGGATAAGCTTTTATAGTCTGATCTTAGACAAAGTAATTTTTAATCAGGAAAGCTTTAAAATGTGTACACCTTAATAAATATTTGTACTTTTATATATATGGTTTAGCTTAGCCCTTTATGGTTCGTAGTCATATCCTGGGTTGAGTTCCCCCCCCCCTTTTCCCCCCAGTACTTATTCTATACCCATCTTATTCTGAAATTATTACGCTAAAATTATAAAAGCCCCACATTCAGTCCCAGAAATTGCAACAACTGATGCCTCTGAATACTAGAACCCCTTTTCCAATTAAAACCTGCAAATATGGGAACTTATTATTTACTCATACTTAGTGACTGGCTTCTCCCTATTAACACATTACATTAAGGTAATAAAATATACATGATGCAGTCCAGCTCTGTTATAATGAGCAGCAGTTTTCCACAGTGATTTAAATGAGAAACAGTTTGCATGCATAAGTTATCAGAATACTTTGTCATTTCAAGTCAAATTTTTAGAGATTTTAGAACTTTGGATAGCGGACTGCTTAGAGAAAGATGCAATACTGCACACATGTTGTGGTTAAAGCAAGGAGATTGTTTTCTCCAATCTAATAAGACCACTCACCGTAATAAGCATATTTGAAATGTATGCATTATACTAACACATAAACATATACATACATGTGAGCAGGATGTAGGATTGCTAGGTACCAATATTTCAAATACTCCAGAAAGATATAAATCTAGTGTTTCACTAGGAGTTATAATTTTATCTCTCTCTCCAGAGTAGGGTTGCCAGCCCCACTTTTGGTGGCTGCAATCCGCCCCCAGCCAGCTGGCTGGCAGGGGAAACCCCACCTCCAAATAGGGACATCGTCAGGCAAATTCCTCGACACGATGACATCACCTGGAAGTGACATCATTGCATTGGCAACGTCACACACAAACGCTCTGGTTTCGGGGCAAATGCTATGGTTTTGAAGCAAAAAAACCCATAGAATTTTTGCCCCAAAACCAGAGTGTTGCACTTCAGGGTGATGTCATCATGTTGGGACATCGCCTGACGACGTCCTGCCCACCCCTGGAATACCCCCCAAATCCCTCCACCGTGACAGTGAGGGAACCTGGCAAACCTACTCCAGAGAGTTCACGTGTTTTCATTGCTTTCATGCAGTCCTAACCAGAGTTAGGCCTAAGCCCTTTGACTTCAATCAACTTGTACAAGTGATTTAAATTCCACTTTGTAGGAATCAAGTTCCATTTTTAAAAAGTAGAGCTTTCTTCCAAAAGAATGTTTGCGATGGCAGTGGTAATTTACTAATTATGAGCAGCTGTGTTAGGATAAGCCATATTTCTATGAATAGCCTTTTTATACAGTTGAGAAGGTTTGTTTCCATACAGCAAACTTACATGATTCATCCTATAAGGAAATTCCTTTGGAAAGGCATACGAAAACCTAGTTTTCACTGCAGTGAAGAAAAATCAAAAGATTTTAAATAAATGATAAAACAAAACCAATATGCTTATTTCTGTTTCAACACAAAACCCTACACACAAGAGCCTACCTACGCCCTGGGGGACAGACCTATGGTTGGGAGAGGAAACTTTTATGGGCAGATATACAAAATGTTTTCTCTCTAATTCTGGATCAGATGTTGACAGTAGTGTTTTATATTTAAAAGTACAAGAAAAAGTGGCACCTTTTGTGGCATATATTATAGATTAGACTACAAAATCCAACTGCAATAAGCACATAGAAAACACGGCTGAATAGATTGAACGTTACTAAATGGACCAAAACAAAAAAGAGCACCTTCTCCTGTCAGTATATGGAAGATCACAGCAATGTCATGTGAGACATGAGGTTTAGATCTAGATGATCTACAATGACAGTTGGGTGGTCATGTGACACTAGAGTTGCATCATATCTGTAAGTGTCACAGTGACTAAGCAATTGTACAGTACTGGGATGTGATTGGTCAGTATATATATATATATTGTAACAAGTTCTTAGTCCAGCACTGCCTATATGGTTACGGCTGTTATGCAAAGCACTTTGTCGGTCAAGATCCCGAATTGCTACAAGCTGTGTATGTATAAAGTCTCTGTAAATAAACTGTACATATTCTACTACAAACAACTCTGCTATTTTCCAGCTTCAAACACCGTCATCTCCCTCCTTTATTGAATTTTTAAATGAAATTTCAAAAGTATATACTACCATGGAAACATTCATCAGCCTATAGAAATTAATTTCACATTATGTGTATAAATAACTAACTTTCGGGGGGGGGACAGAACCTAAAAGTAACAGAGCTATTAAGAATAACATATTCATTTTCATCTCTTCTGGAATTGGAAACTGACTCTGCTGGAGAAATGTATATCGAGAACACTTGTACTCCATAAGCTGACAATAAATAGCATTGCTAACAAGCATTATCTGATGACAGCTTCCTACGAAAGGAACAAATCATTTTAGCTATGGAATTGCTCACAGAATTTATACTTACATACAGAAGTAGCAGCAGATATCAACCTTGTGTTTGAGACCACACCAAATTCCTAAAGGAAGAAACAGAAGTCACACAGGAAGGCATGCTCTGCACTACTGCCATATCTGTGACTGGGACAGTCATTTAAGATAGGTAAAAGTCTCCTGAAAGAAATGTGGGCCAAAGGGTCCCCTTTCCATGCTAAGCTGCTAGCACCATGGGAAAAGTCAAGCCAACCCATGTTCAACTCCACTCCAGCCCAAGATGAATGGTGTTAACAGGATCTTCCCCAATTCCCTTGCCCACCTGTAGTTGCTGATGCACTTCAACTATAGTTTTCTCCTCAGGCAAGATATCTATGTTTTTTTCTTTCCTTCTAGCAGAATCCTTGTCACTTGCAATACTACTAGAGAAAGGCCATTTTGATGGCAGACTGCTGTCACTAAAGGGCAGACCAAGCAACCTGTATTAGAAACCCTGTTTGCTCGTGGGACAGAGGCCATCATCATACTTTTATGCCAGCAGGATGACCATTCTTATAAAGGCTGGGGGAAGTATTCCCCTGGTGGAGGGGTGTAACTGCACTTTGCAAAATCCCAACAGTTGGGACTACGAAAAATTAGTTATTTGGCCAACCCAATGATAGATTAAAGTAAGAACGACTCATTGCCATTATGGAGTCTCTTCCTTTTCCAGAAGAAAACCTTCTCCAACGTTAAACGACTTCTCCTTAGGATCCTCATACAACTAATTCTAAATACGGTCCTAGAACGCAGATCAAGAAATCTACAAAACGGACCATGAGCACAAAATAGAATTTTTCAACAAACCTGGGGAAATATCCAGGTTTGCTGGAGAATCTTTAAGAAATGGAAATGAAGTTTGCAAAAGCTCCCAATCCAGAGAGAAGCATTGTCTGCAGTTGCACAGATAGCATACAGGAACCAGATCTTGGCATGCTACAGTGGGCAGGAGTGATGGAGGCTTGTGTTAAGGGGGAAGAAGATAGGCATACAGGGAGAAAGGACTGCCAAGCCAGGCTGAGAAGAGAAGGAAGGAAGGAAGGAAGAAAGGTGGATTGTTGCTGCCAGTGTTGCCAATGCCAGGTATCATAAAAACTGGCAGTTAGCACAGCAGTGGCTTGGGAAAGGCAGCAAAGGAGGAGTTTTCGGCATCCATCTACAGTTGCCAGCCCCACCAGGGACAGAAGACAAAAAATGGTGGACAGGAGGAATGGGAGCAAGAGAAGGCAAACCTACTGCTTTTTCCTTTATTTCTCCAGTGCCTGTCCCCATATAGGAGATAAAGTGAACAAGCAGCAGCAGCCAGGAGGAAGCAGTGGGGGGCCCTTCTTCCTTCCCCACTTGCTGTACAAGCCCCTGACAGAGAGAAAAAGCGGGAAAGCCAGGGCAGCTTTGAAAAGGAGAAGGCAGCAGCACCCCCTCACCCTCACCACACAAGTTCCCCACAGGACCCATTTGTTAAGGTTTATTTCCTATTTCCATAATAATAATAGACTTTATAACACAGTACCACTTCTTACCTCTACTTTGGATGCCAAAAACACACATGTGGGAGCCATCAATACTGGATCTATACTTTTTAGGGAATATCTGAAAAGTTACAATATAAAACGTTAGCCAGTAGAAGGAGTTAAGCATCAAGAGTACTATAGGGTCCTCCAACAAAGTTACAGTCATGAACCTAAAAGATTTGTATCTTAGAAAGAAGGACAACATAGTTGTGGACTTATAAACTTAGCAAACCTCCTAGTGGCAAGGTGAATTGCCTTACCTGGCATAGAACCTCTTGAAGTAGACAGTAGCTGTGGCAATAACTTGTTGTCTTAGTTTCAGATGTTCACCTAAGGCCTGGATAACTTACAAACAAAAAGAAAAAAATTAAACTGAGTACAGCTTTGAAAGTGTTGAAGTTTATCAGCAGTATTGTGGTGGCTTATGTTCGCCCCAAAGTAAAAAGGGTACAAGAAACAATTACAGAATCTAACAAAGTAATAACAACATTCTCCTAGACCATAGCCTAGGAGTCTTTGACAACCCCAGCAGTAACCTGACTTCTTTAAAACAACAACATTGGCAGTAGGTCGTGTGTGTGTGTGTGTGTGTGTGTGTGTGTGTGTGTATATATTCTCTGCAAGTACTTCAACAACACAGAGCTTTTTCTTTAGCTAGATTTAATGCCATGCCATCTGTGATTTTATATGGCAGATTTTAAAAAATAGCACATTTGACTAGACATTGTCCTTGTAACACCAATTGCATTGAGAAAATCCCACATATTTTCCTCTATTATTCGTTCTATGTAGATATTCATTTTAAATACTTAAGCTCTATTTTAGCTATGTCTGGCCTCTCCGATTCCTATAAGGTTTACTGTCTTTTGAATGATTCCTACTCTGTTATAACTGAGAAGGTGGCAAAGTTCTTACAGTTCGCCATACAGCTGTGCCAGGAGAAGCTTCAGAAATAACTGAGGATATTATCCAATTGTACTGTAATATATTCTTATTTTTATTCCTTTTGTATCCTGTTGTCAAGATATTCCCCCTTTAAAAACTGTAAGTGGTTGCTGTAGCCAGACAGTAAGGCACTAGGATGTAGTTAGCAAAGTAGGTCAGCTAAGTGACATCTGTATCTTATTAAGGGCTATTGTAAGCTAGTGCACCTGGCAACTGTCAGAGTATGCAATGACTCAGGTAGATCTTGACAGTTCTCCATCTAAGTCAGCCACGTGTGAACTTCCAGTTAGCTCATGATTGGCTGACAGCTGGCCAGCTATTTAGTGGGAGCCAAGGCAAGGCCAGTTAGCAGACGTATGCTTGCCAGAGAGAAGCATCTAGCCATTATGCTGTACTGCTCACGGTTGCTGGAGTGGAAGGCCGGGGTGGACAGCACGGGGTGCATCGGACCAGATGGACTGCTAATCCCAGGCACCAGCCAGTCTCTATGTTTGTTGCTGCTTAGAGCCAAGTGCTCAGGGAAGTATAGAGTTAGCTTAGTTAGCTTTTGTGTTTCTTTGTTTGTTCTATGTACATTTTCCTTGTCCCCAACTTGTGTGTTTTTATTGTTTGTAATAAACTTATGTATTATTTTAATTGGACAGAATTGCTGACCTGTATATTTGGCTAATTGGTATTATTAGTAAAAAGGGAAACCAAACAGTTATTATCTTTCCTACTCACGTTATGCTGGTTTATATGACCCTGAAGTAAGGTAAACACTCTGTAGTCTCTGTGGTGGCTTGGAAAGTAGCCAATAAGACAGAGGCGGAAGGGCAGGTCGTGACACCTGTACATCTTAATTGTTATATGCCAGTAAAGACTGATTGAGAAGCCAATGGTTTTGCACTTAAATCTGGGTCCAAGTACAGCATACTATCAGCTAGAGCAAGTTTGTTTAAATTCAGGCAAATAGTTCTTTATGCCCAACTCATAAACGTAATTCCTTCAAGTCATTTAAACCTCAAAGATCAGAACAAAGAGGCATCTGGTAGATGTGGGCAATATCTCAAAAACAAAAGGAAAACACTAACTTTATGTATAACCTATGGAAATTTTAATTCACTCTAGAGAAGTCCCAGTAACTGCAATGGCAGTACCCCAGAGTACATGGTTAACTACAGCAAGAGCAAAGAGCTTGACTGAATAAAATCCAAGCATCCCAATTTATGTTGAAACGTAGCCTCCAATGTTAAAATACCTCATAAAATGGATGTTATCTGTCCAACAAATTACACTGCCAGTATCAATATGGTCACTGGATTTGGCAGAGGCAGCAGGTGTTTGAAGAATGACATATTTAGTCTAGGGAAAGGGAGCAGGGCGAGAGAGACCAGGGAAAGTAGTCAGCTGCTTCATCACTAGCCTTGCCTGCCAGTTGGCCAAGAAACAGCCCTGGTGTCAGCTGTGCAGGTAGCTCTTGTTTGGCCTTCCAGGCAAAGGAGAAGTGCCAAGCATGTCAGAAGTATACGTCTGGGACACCGAGCAGAGGTGGAAGTACAGAATGAAACATAAGGTGATCACTTGGTATTTTTCCTGAATTCCCTCATCCATTCTTAATTTGAATATGGCAGTGCTATGTCACTACCCTGCCATTTTCAAATAGTGCTGCAAGTTATGCCCTTTTACTTTACGCATCCATGCACAGATTTTTTTTAAAAGGCTGGCAGCCAAACAAGGAATCTGCACACAGGATAAATGGCTAAAGAAACAATTGTTACAATTGTGACCTACCTGAGGCCATATTGTAATATCATCAGTATACGATAAAACAAATAGACATTTCTGAAATATATTCAGAGAGTAAATTCAGACAGAATATATTCAGAGTAAAACAATATATTGATTAGCAGCAGTACAAATGTTTTTACTGAGCACTAGCAGTTTGTATCCAAAACCACCAATTCTCTATGCCATCATAATTTCACAAAGAGCTATGAAAGTAGTGCCATTGCTAAGAATGTAAACTGAGCGCCAGGACATTCCCCCACCGCCATGCAGATCTTAGGTTGGAGCCAGACAGGTCTTTGTTCAACTCCCCCCCCCCCTTATTACAGCCCTATCTCACATGGCTTTTGCCCATGAAGGTCCCATGATCCCCAGGCATAGTCTTTTTGGTAATCAGAGGCAACTCCTTCCTCTCTTTTTCACCAGAGAACTGGTGGTTGGATCCAACCCCTCATCTTAACTCAAATCTTCTGCACAGTCCAAAACTGCAATACTATGCAGAGTTATACCCTTCTGAGCCCACTGATTTAATGGACTTAGAAGGATGTAACTCTGCTTAGGACTGTGTTAGGACAGTGTATCTACTCTGTTACATGGGTATGTCCATTTTTATGTGCTAAGGTTAATTTTACATGAATGCTTTTCCTTTTATTTTTGTTAGCACAGTCAAAATATCCATGGATCTCTCTTCTTCCTTAGGTATCCTCCCAAGAATGTGATATGAGAGAGGCATAAGATCCACATCATATATTATCATTGGCCACCTGATGTTTCAGCTGAGCGTGTGGAATTTGGTCTCCAAATACAATATCCTAAAGACAGAGCACCTTACTGATGCTGCCCTCTGTTGTCACACTATAACTCACAACAAAAGTAGAAGAGAAATTAAACAGTTCAGCTGACCTATCTTCTTCCAGTTTCCTAATACTATGGAATTTCTTCCATTTGATTTAGACCTGCCATTTTAGCAGGCCTGAATTCACGCCTCTGGCCACGTCTCCCTTCACAACCAGAATAAATCACAATATTAAATCTATCAGTCCATGAAACAGGAGGCAAGAAAAACTCCCAGAGTCCAAAGAGCAAAAATATGAAAATAACGAAACCAAAATCCAATAAAATCAGTGGTTGGCATGATGTATGCTTTCTTTATTTATAATCTCATTTACATATTCTAGTGTTTTCTATATAATTATGATGGGGGGCATTACTTCAAACAGGCACATGGCAACCAGAAGTCTCTGATTTATTTTTTTAATAATGCATGAACCACTAATATACGAGGCTGTGTAAAGAACGATCAGTATCTTCAATGATCATTCTCTACAGGTACCAGTCTTCTGACTGAAGAGAAATAAGAAGTTAATTTCAGGTCCCGATGAAACCTTTGTATCCCAGCCAATGATCACTCAATGTTGACTTTTGAGAACTTTATTTAAAATTACTCTAGTTATCATTGAACAGATAAAAAACAAGATTCACAAGTATACAGGGAACACTATAAAATGTAAATGAGATTATAAATAAAAAACATACAAGTGATACCTTCTTCAACTTAACCTGCATTTAAAAATGAAGTACAATTTCTAAAATTCTTACCAAACATTTTCAGAAAAGATAAGACAGATTCACTGAAACCCAGAATTGACCTGTTCAGATGCCTGTTCAGAGTGTGGCTGTCTTATATAGACATGTGAGCCTCCTATTACTTTGTTAAACTATCTAATTTGTTTTCTCTAGAGGTGTGATGTTAGACACCTCTGAGCATTCTAAAGAATAAATGTTGCAAATTCTGTTCCATTTGTCCTGAGATTTATTCTGGGCATAAAGCCATTGATTCATATGTTGTTCTTTTCAAGGCTGAAAACTGTAAGTTAGCAAGAACAGTGGGAAAAAAGAGTGGGTGCAGATTTACACAAAAACCTAAAACCAAACTCTTAGGCATACTGTGTCCCAAACAATGGTTTAAAAGTTAAAATCCACAACACTGCCATCGAAGCCTCAGTCTCAGCACTTAGTAAAAGGAAATGGCATCTAGGACATCATGATATCTCAACAAAAAAGAAGGTAGCAACAGAAGAAGTGGAACAATACATCAAACAGGGAAACCGTATCAGAACAAAACTGTACAAACAGCGAGTCACATCAGAAAGTTCTTCAGGAAACTGAAACACAACTTCCGGTTTATGGTGACAAGCAGGCAGATGCATCTCCCGGATGTCCCGGGGATGCAATCTGCACACCAGTGTGTAGGAGGGGGTGCAATGGGTCACGACCAGTGTTCCCTCTAAGCTGAGTTAGTGTGAGCTAGCTCACAGTTTTTTAGCCTCTGGCTCACACATTTTTGTCTCAGCTCAGGAGGGATGGCTCCAGAGCAGACTAATTTATGCAGTAGCCAAATCGCTTGCTCACAACTTTAACGCCAGTAGCTCACAAAGTAGAAGTTTTGCTCACAAGACTCCACAGCTTAGAGGGAACATTGGTCACAACCCCCCCCCCTAGGAGCCTTGGCAAAAGGCTCCTAGCCAGGAGGCTTTTCAGGGGCGACCTCTTCACCGGTGTGATGCCGGAGAATTGAGGCGCTCCTCTGCCCCGAAGGTCCTGCCACTGAGTCCGTATGGAATTAGCATGGCTGACCGGAACAAGCATTGGAGATCGGGTGAGAAAAACCGATACCGAGCATGGCCGGATGGCCGGCAACGAACTGTGAGTCGGGCTGAAGCGAGCATGAAGATTTAAAAAGAAAGCTGCCCCCCTTTAAGTAGCGACAAAAAGCGAGCGGGGGAAGGCCCCCCCAAACGCATAAATGAAAACACGGAAATAATAGGGGGGAGCAGAAAAATAAGCATCTAAATCGGTTTTAAGAGACTTACCAGAGCGCAGATAAGCGTATGGGCGAATATCAGAGACTTTAGCAACTTTTAGAAAAGTAAACAATCCAAAAAGGTGGCGGGGAAGAAACCAGATAAAGACAAACTGTTGAAAGCAAAACTAGTGGGCAGTCCTCGAACGGAAGAGACCACTAAGCTTTCTAAAATGTTGGCAGATTCCTTGCACCCTCTGCTGGATGAGATGACTAATATTAAGCAACAATTATCAACAATTGGTCAGAGTTTGGCTTCAAAGGCAGCTACAACTGACTAAATCTCTAAATGCAACGGAGCAAATGGCAGAGAAGGAAATGGACGCCAATACTAAAAAAGTCAAGAAAAAGGTGCAAAAGCTGGAAATGAAACAAGCTACAGAAGAGTCACAACTTTTACAGCTGCAAATGGAGAAAGCAAATTTGGCCCTACGGTTCCAAGGGGTCCCGGAATCTAAAGGAGAGAATCTGAAGCAATTGTTGAGTGATGCAATAGCTCCAATGACAGATTTGACAGCGGAATATCTTTACAGCGAGATGGATGTGGTCTACAGGTCCTATTCCTTATACATCAAGAAAAATAATCTGCCTAGGGAAATAGTAGTCAGATTCTCGAAGAGACATGTAAGAGATTTCATTTTGAAAGCAACTACGGGAGCACCCTTGAAAATCAGGGACAATAATATCAGGATCTTAGAAGACATTCCATTTGAAATAAGACAGAAGAGAAAGAAATATAAAGACTTGACTCTTTTTTTTACAAACAAATGGCATCAGTTACAGATGGTTAATTCCAGAAGGTGTCATTTTCAAGCTCCAGGCTAAAAAAGAAAAGACTGACTCTGTTCCTAAAGCACGTGAGTTTCTGATAACACAGCTGGGGGAACCAGCGGAGGACAAGAAGGAAGAAGAAGAAAGCAAATCGGATGGCGAGTTAGGCTCGGTGTCTTCTGATGAGGACTCTCTCTCTGGAAAGGGGGCGGCAGCCCCCAAAAGTCCATATAAATTGAGGAAAAGAAAAGATAAAGGCTGAAGGACTCTGAATTGTGCCTGAAAATTTAGTAATAATTTTGGGATGCTCTGAGGGTTTCATTTAACAGATAAATGGATGGTTAAAAGGTAAATAATTTAGCATAACCGACTATGTTCAATGTATTACTAGCATTTTAGATTAACATTGAGATAAGCTGAAGATTCTTTCAGATCTTCTACTCTTGGGGTTTTAGTTATTAGTGGGTTTCTTTTCTTTCTCCTTAGATGTAGTTTCCCCTCCCATATTTTCAGTTATAGTTTGTAGTGTTGTGAAAAAAACAAAACCAATTAAAAACTCCCCTCAGTGGATTCAAAAAAAAAAAAAAAAAAGGAAACTGAAACACATATGACAGTAACCCCAATGCAAGATAAACATGTAAATACCTCCTAGGCAAGCCACTATTCTATATCACCATCTACAATATGGGGATAATAGTTCCAACTGACTTAAAAGTTTGTCTTAAGCATCAGGAAAATGCTAGAAATGAAACAGTCAGAACATTCAAAATGTGATATATAATATCACTAATCATATCAACTATGCACTACATGCAGTACAAAACAAGCCAAACATATATACACATTCATCACTTCAGGACTACTATATTGTTAAGGCACGTTGGCTAATAAATCCAAAAGCAGCAACATTTTAACACAGCGTTAAGGCATTTTTACAACTGATTCAAGCAGAGCACAGCTAATTTATATAAAAATATTTTGTGATCAGATTTTGCAAAATGCTGGTATTTGTAATACAAGCAAGAGATCTGGAAAAGAAACTTGACTGCTAAAGCAAGAGCTGAGAACTCTGATGACTTTTCCAAAAGCTTTGAAAAACTACTCTCTTGTTTATGTTTAAGAAACAAGAATAATAATATATGTCCTTCTGCACTGCAATAGAGAACTTAAACCAATATACTCAATGTATTCAAATTGAGTTCTATGTAAGGGGTCATTCAGACTACAGCCTTAATTTGATTTGAAGAGTTGCATCCTGTAGACTTTGACACTTATCCAATTTAGCTCGTGTACAAGTCCTATCTTTTTAGACTTACTGCACATTGCTTACAGGTTGTTGCACCTGAATAAAGGCTTATAGGACTAGCACCTAAACATGAACATGCAATAAAGCACTGCTGTTTAGTGGCAGAACCCATGTTTTGTATGCACAAGGGTCTAGAAAGAAAGTGTATGGACATATGCATACCTTAAGACGAAAGGACAACTATGAAGTCCTGAACAATTAAGTGTTTTTTCAGTTATTATACTACATTAGAAGGGAATGTTAAGACTTCAGGAAAGCTTATGTTCAAGGGTTCCAGTACTGCAATGGCTCATTCCACTAAGTGGTATTCATTTAAATGATATTCATTTGTCATTTAAGAAATTAGCACAAACTTACATAACAGCATTATAAATCAGAAAGGCAAGTTAAAATGTAAACTATTTTACCATTTGTAAAAAATATTTGAAGCTTCCAATATTCTTCTTCTGCCAAAAATTTTAAATCCTTTTGACGTTCCTTCAACAGATCTTGTTTATCCAAAATCCATTGTAAGCTACCGGGGAGGGGAAGGGGGGGGGAGAGAGAGAAACAGCTTAAAAAGATATTACGCAATGTAAATACATCATCTGTAATAGGATGCTACAAGGAATAGCATTCTTTCAGCTTCCATTATATACCCTATGCCAGAATGACAAAACTATCCCAAGATGGGTAGTCAGGTTAGTTTGTGTGTAGCAGTAGCAGTAGAAAAGAGCAAGAGTCCAGTAGCATCTTAAATACTACCAAAATATGTGGCAGGGGATGAGCTTTCGTGAGTTACTATCTGAAGAAGTGAGCAGTGACTCTCAAAAGCTCATACCCTGCTACTAGATTCTTGCTTTTTTCTAGAACTATCCCAGTTATTCTGAGACAGGAAACAGACACCTTAACCACCTGCACAAACTCAAGGTTTGTTTTATCAATACAGCATCATGGCTTCTAATGCTGTGTGTAGTTACTGCGTATTGCCCACCCAAACATTTGTTTCCTAGCACAGAAATCTCAGTATTAGGTATGTATAATTATATTTATGCCTCAAACATCATGAGCTTAAGTATAGGAAGTTATCACTTTAACATGTGGAATCCACTGCCACAGCAATAGTCATTAATTTAGCTGACTTTAGAAGGGACTAGACAGGTTCATGGAGGATAGTTCCATCAATAGCTATTAGCTACACCAGTTAAGTCGAACCTCCATGTTCAGAGCTAATAACCTTCTGAACACACACTTGTGGCCTTCAAGAGCATCTGGTTGGCCACTACTGAGACAGGGTGTTTAACTAAAAGGACCATTAGTCTGCTCCAGTATGGTTGTTTACTATGCACTTGTTCCACAGATCTTTAAAACCAATAAGCATAATACTCTTCAATATGAAGAACACAGTATATTTTCCATACAAAGCAGCTAGTTCTTTTTGCTATAATTAGAAACAGGTAACCTTTCCCTTTCTGTGAAGTCATAATAAGCATAAATACATTTTCAGACCTAGTCGTACTGTTAAAGCCTCACACTTCAAACATGTCCATTCCATCCACGTTCCAAATACCCACTATACATAATACCTCAGTCCTCATTCACTACACAAAACAAACTGCACCTGCCCCCTTTACGCCGTCCCCCTTGCCCGCACCGATTAAGCCACACAACCTCCTCTTCCCATCCTCCAGGGCACCCAAAGCCGGGAGAAAGGGCCAAGAAATCACTCACTAGTGCGAGCTCTGCCAAAAATTCCCTGCCATTTAGAGGAGTCGGGGAAGCTTTTTCTCCTTTCTGCTTGCTCAGGAGGACCGTAGCAACCCCAGTCCCCAATGCAACAGGCTCTTCTTTTCCCTCTCCAGGACAAGGAACCGCTTGCGAAGCAGGAAGGAGGCTGCAAAAGCGGCAACACTGATAGAGACAGTAACCTGCGCCCCGGTCTTGTGTGCTGCACTCAACTGCGCCCCGGCTGCACTCAACTGCCTGGCAAATCAGTTCCCAGGCAACAAAGTTCCCCCTATGGATATCAACAGGGCAGACCACCTCCTCCCTGCCGGTCGTCGACCCTAGACTGGATTTGATCATAAAAGGCTTCTTACAACAACAAGAATATTTTGTCAAGAAATGTGCCTTCATTTTTCATGTGTTCCCGCAAGGATGTGTTTCCACCAGATTGTATTGTAAACTGTCTCACAGATGTGTATATGGAAGGGCAAGGTATAAACATTTTATAAAAATAAAATATACCAGGAAAGTGTGAAATGCTTAGCTCAGGGAAGATCCTTCATTGCAAATGCTCAGGGAAGATCCTTCATTGCTTTTGCATTCCATTGAGAAAAATGCTGCCTCTGAAAGTTCATGTCACAACAAATGTACAATTAATGCTGTGATGCTTTCAAATCGTTTTGTGCAAGGGCTACATGTGAGCGTTGCTTGAGATATGATCACTCACCCACACTTGCACAAGTGATGGGGTTGCATGGTCATACTATCCACTTGCAGTGCAAGAGTGCTAATCTCTTGACGCTTCTGAGATTTTCCAATAACAATGAGCCAATATTTGGGTACCCTTCTTGGTTTTAATTTTTATTTTTTGCAGTTGTGTGTTTATCCCTTGCCTGTGACCAGCTAGCCATTTTTAAAGACAATGCATGCACTGGCAGTGCTAGGGTTGTTTTCCTCATAGGCAGATTAAGTTTTCCTGCCTGTATTTCCTGCCTTTATTTCTCATTGCATGTGAATGGCATACCATAGATATCACATTCTTATCCTCAACTCAGAGAAGCATATGTGGTTTTCCCTACCTCTGTTTTATCCTCATAATAGGTTTGGTTAAGCTGAGAGAGAAAGTGACCACCACCCCCAGTCACCCAGTAAACTTCATAACTCTTATATGCACAGTTTATGAAACACTTTGTACTCTGCCACTGACTAACAGGTTTAACTTAATAGGTGCACTTAGCACTTCCATGGTGCATATGTTAAGTGCCATTTATGATTCTAACATCATGAATGTTTTCAGGTATTAACTTTGGTTCATTTGTGACTGTTGTTTGGATGCATGCTGGGAAGATAAAATGCTGAAGCTTGTGACCTTGCTTGATAATGGCCAGCTGTAACTGTGCATGTCCCTGGTGTCAGTTAGCTTGCGTTAGATGGAAACCATACTACATGATGTACCCATATCTGTTGCATTAGATACTTTTTATCACTTCATAGCCTGGGAAGAAGAAAACCCATTGTTCAACTGAAGGAGGTATATTTTTGCTTGAGAAAGTCCAACCTACAGGCCTGGGCCCAATCAGAACAGTGTGATGGATATAGGACAAAGTTTGATGGAACCAATAATTATGATTTATTTCTGTCATAGAGGGTATAAAACTTTATGTCTCCCATTGTAACCTTAGGGAGAGCTGTGGGATCCAAAACCTTATTGGATCTGCACCTTCCTCCTTTGTTGATCAATAAAGTTCAAGATCTGATTCTGCTCTACAGGATTGTACTGAGTGTTTTCTCAAATTGGGCTGGGGAAACACACACACTCAGACAGGATTATTTTTTGTACATCATAACTAAGTGAGGTTTGAATACTATATATTATAACGGCGGCACGAATTCTTGTGGTCAAAAACTGGAAAACAGATAAAATACCCTCTAAGGAGGACCTAATAGCAAAAATATTAGAACTGGCACAATTGGATGGTTTGAGTTTAATTCTTCAAGGTAAAGATCAAAGTATACTGGACAACAGATGGATAAGGGTATATAATCCATATAAATGGATAAAAGATGAAATGATCGTATAAACAACTATGTAATAAGGCGTATAAAAGTTGTAACATGTGTTAACAACTCTAAAAATTTATGTAATCTAAGAAATTGAAATGTGATATGTGTGGAAAACTGAAAAATAAAATGGAAAAAAACCCCAACAAAGTGAGGTTTGAACCTAGGTCTCCCCTATTTAGAGATGCCAATGCCAACTCCAGGTTAGGAAATTATTGCCTTTTTTTAAGGTGATTGACAGGGCAGTCGTAAGCCGAGATACCCCCTTCAAAGTCCATTGACTTCAATGGACTCAGAAGGGTGTAACTTGGCTTAGGGTTGTTCTGTAATTCTCACCACTACACCACATTGGCATTATTAGCATTTAAGAAACTGTTGCACAAATGCTAACATGTAGGTGAGTCAATCAGACTTTGAATGTACAATAAAGGCTTAGAGAAAGACTGGCACAGAAGAAAGGTCATGGCCAAGATGACTGAACAGTACAATGGAACTCAGACTTAGTGCTAAACTACTGCCAAGTAAAACCAAGGTACATCTGTATAAACCAGGTGATTCTATACATCATAGGACAAAACTGATTTTATGCAGATATTTCAACATTTCCTCTGTGGACACATCCACACTACCAACTTAAAATGGCTTAATAGTCATTTCCTGGTCCTTAGTGTTAAAAATGGAAATAGAGATTTTTGATAGGAAAGCTTAAAGATCTTTTGCTTAACGCTGAATGATAATGAATGTATTGTTGTTGATAGAAGTTTGAAGGATTAAGCGTTTAAAGACAAATTAGCAGGCTCTGCTCTATTTTATAAATAATTTCAAAGCAGACACACAGAGAATGCTGTCTGATAAACACAAGGGCAGCCACTAAAATGGAAACAGGAAGTTCTAAAAAGACATGGGAAGGCGTTAACTTTACACAATGAGAATCAATTTATCGCTAATGCTTGATGCTAAAAGATTAAGCTTGCTGGAATTTGTAGAACTAGTGGGTCGGTAAGAAAAAGAAGCAATACGGAGAGTGGGAATGCTTGGGTTAATCAAAAGAATTAATAAATATAACATTTAATGTGTGATTGACTTTCTTGGCTCATTTCTACGTCTCTAGCTTAAGTGCTGAGCATGCATAAAAAGGAGGAAGTCCCTTATGGGGGAAAGCGACCTCGTAAGGTCAGATGGTGGTTTAAGATACAAGCTAAGAATGGACATCTCGTTGTCTAGGACCTGTTGACAGGAAGCTGATGACTGCAAATTTACCCCATGAAATGGACAAAATTGCTTAAGAGGCGAAACTTGTACTGTGTTATAAAGAAATGTTAATATAGAAAGTCTGGACTAAGCAAACTTAGCCTTATTTGAAATAAGCAAACAGAGGAAGGGTGGTCTTGGAAAATGCTGAGATAGGTATGGGAAGGGATGAGGGTAGGGTTGCCAAATTTAGATCGTCCGGGAGCGGGGGGCTCCCGGACGATCCGGAAAACTCTTTGTTTTCCCCTCAAATGGCATGGCCCCGCCCCCAGCGTGCGACGTCACTTCTGGGTGACGCGCACGTGGGGGTGGGGTTTCCCCCGGGCCCCGATTCCGGCGCGCCGGTAATCGGAGGTCCGAAGCGGGGGAATCCCCGCCCCCCAGCTGCATTTGGCAGCCCTAGATGAGGGAGAAGCATGTGATTTCTTTAAGCGTTCGGATTAGTTGTACACCCTGGCTGCCAGACCAGTGGCAGTTCAGTGGGAGGGACTTTATTTTCCACACGACGGTGTCAGGTATAAAGGGGGTATTTTTGAAGAATTGGGTGTGCCTGCTTTGTTGCTGTGCACCCTCTTGTAAGAGTGTTAAATTCAATAAAAGATAATTCTGCTTCATTGAAAAAAAGGTCTGTCTCCAGAAAGTTCTTTTCTTGGTAAGAACAAATTGCATTTCTATCATTAGTAAGGGAGGCTGGAATTTCTCTGTCAAATTCTTAGCATCCAGGAACATTTTAGGTCCCAATCACACACAGAATTAGCCACATGATAGGCACGAATGCCGGGCAAATTTTAAAGGTGCGATCACACAGGAACATCTGGCAAGCGTCCCCCACCCGTCGGCAACCCGTTTTGCTCTGCCAAAGAAGTGGAGTAAAAAGACACTGGGGAAAGTACAGTAGCAAACGGGTTGCTATGGGCCACATACGGACTTTCCCCTGTGTGATCACTCCAGTGCGCTCTCATGGCGTCGGGATGGTTTGATCAGGCCAGCCCAATTCCATGCCATTGTTTTCCCCCCTTCTCAGTATGCGCATAATCGCATATTGCCGTAGGAAGCCTTCAGTGTGGAGATGCGATTCATTGATCCGCCATTTAAGTGAATCGAAAACAAACAGCAAAAAAAACCCCAACTCACCCGTGATTGTATCTGATCATGCAGTGGCGGGCTATGCCCACAGCTTCAAAGAACTGTGTGACCGCGCAACTGCGGGTCAATTTCCTCCGGGGTAAATAGCCTCACTTCCCCCACGTGTTATCTCGCATGTGTGACCGTGACCATAAATTAGCAGTACAGATATGCCCAATCTCTGTCTATATACCAATATGTTAGGGTTGCCAAATGTTTTTTGGCCGGGAGCGGGGGGCTCCCGGCCGGCGTCTTAGACGTGCGCGTGCGTCACCCGGAAGTGACGTCGCATGCTGGGGGCGGGGCCACGCCATTTGAGGGGGAAACAAAGAGTTTCCCCCTCAAATGGCGTGGCCCACCCCCAGCATGCAACGTCACTTCCGGGGGACATGCACGTGGGGGTGGGGGTTCCCCGGGCCCCGATTCCGCGGGAGCGGAAACCGGGGCTCGGAAGCGGGGGGAATTCCACCCCCCGGGGGCATTTGGCAGCCCTACAATATGTGCAAGCCAAATGTATCCCCTGTGCCTACCAGGCACAGTCCCAGACAGAACAGAATAGCAAACAAACAGAAGCCACAGGTGCCTAAGCAGAATCAAATCTCTCCTCAAGCCAACAATATGATTGGTGATGACACTTTGGAAACATAGAGAAATCTGTTTGGGGGGAGATGGGGTGGTGGTGATATGATCTGCGCATAACTCTGCTGGTTGGCAACTGGCCCCTCTGATAGATAAGAAACTATCTCTCCTTAACTCTTGGGTTCTGTTCTT